TCAGATCTCAGCACCAAATAAAAATATTCGAAGTCGAAATGACAAATGCTCAATAAAGAAGTAGATTTAATGAAGTTTTAACAACCAACATAATATTCTGGTAAACGCTTTTCCAGTTTACTTTATGTTTAATACCCATACTTAGCGGGATAAAATCCCATGTGAACCCCTTATGATTACACAAATAATACCATATTTTAAAATTAAACACAAAATAATCTCTTCCGAAACCTATATGCTTCTTATGCAAAGCTTTTAGAGATTGTAGCAGACAAATTACGGACCCGTTTCTACTTTTAGATCAGCCTCCTTTAAAAGTTCTTCTGATCAGATAAAGCACGTATAAAATTATTCAAAATATTTGAAAATAGCTTCTTAATTTTATAAGTAACTTTTATCTTTTTAAAAGTATTGTCAAAAGGACACTAAGTACCTTATTTACCTATCATTTATGTTTTAGAAACTTGGAATGTGCCTAGTACCAAGTTGGGAGTGATTTTGAATTTTTATCAAACTATGGTCTAAGCAGAGACTCGCATGTTCCCAATTCAAAATACGAGGTGGCCCGACCAACTTTACCTCACGAAGGCATAGAATAGATGAATAATTTTGTGAATCTATTGAGCAAAAAGGAAAATCAGGTTCTGGGGTATAGAGATCTTTTTTCTATTTCGATGCACGTGAAAAAATAAAAGCTTTTACAGATTGAACCACTTTTTCTTGAATCCAAACATGCTTTTATCAATAGACAGACAACCAAAACAGGATACCAATCCCACTGTTCCAAGAATAGAATAGATGACCCAGTATTTTCTTTAGCACTAAAATAACAAAATAAAATAAATAATGTGGAAATTTTTTACCTTGTCCGAACTGCAATTTGCTGGATTTGATTTAGATTTGGAGTTCTTTGGCTCCAAATTGAGTGCTCCTCTCTCCTTCAACAACTTGCCCAGTTTCTTGCATTTCTTTTCAGCAAATTCTTTCAACACATCTTTTTCACCACGCAAGAAAAAAAACTGAGTTAATTAAGAAATCATTGAAACAAAATCAACTTTTTTACACAAAGTTGTACCTTCAAAGCTGACGAGTCGATAAACTTGTCCAATAAGCAAAGTGTCTTCTGATCGGAGAAGTTTTAGCTGCTTCACTGGCGTCCCATTCCTTGTTTTCGCCGCCGGCGAGGTGATTATCAGTGCCACGTAATGACCGGGATTGGAAGCCATAACTTCATTAGCACTAACCGACCAGCAAATCCTTTCCACTTTGTTGTTTGGATGCAAAATCACCACCGTCGCCGCTTCTGCCGCTTGGCAGTTCCCCATTTAAACAGTATCTCCGCCTCTTCCTTCCTTCCGAACACCAATCTGATCAAATGAACCTTATAAAATGAGTAAAAATGTCTGGTTTATGAAGCAAGGGGTTGTTGAAGGGTTCTTTCAGTGCATAAATGAGAGATAGTGACGATCAAGGAAGGAATCCTTAGATGTGACAAAAAAACACAGTCACCAATGCTCGAGAAACTTATACATCCAATATTTTCTCAATATTATCACTGTGCTAATTTTGTAAGAAAGAGGGAAGTGCGAAGAAATTCTGTTAAGGGCTGATGATGCGAACGTGAAAATGAAGCATAAATATATAAATATTTAGGTCTAAACAATCCGATGCCGTTAAACTTTCAACTTTTTCTACTTGGTCATGCAATTTTAAATTATTACTCTATAGTCCCTTATCTTTCAATTAATTATCTATCCACCATCCGTTATATATTAATCCATTGCCATTAAAAATTTCACCATGTTTGTGCCTGCTTACCAAATTTTAAAATGTTACTCAACGATCAATCATCTTTCAGTAGATCATCTATCGGCCATCAGTTAGCAAAACGATTCCAATTGTTGACGAAAAATCTCACATCACAAACAAGAATCCAACAAGACAAGTTGACAGTATGAAATATGCTCGACTTGACTTACTCGTACACGTCTCTGTAAAATGAAGGAAAAAAATGTGTTTTCATGTATTCTATTTTATTGATTTGGACCAAATTCACACATTTAATTTTCATCAACAATTGAAATTGTTTTCTCAACTAATGGTGATGAATAATTAACCTTCTAAAGTTGGATTTTGCCACTTCCAACTTTGCTAGAAGAAATGTGATAGATGCAATGTCGTAATTCGAGATGGCAGCAAATGATTTGATAGAAAAGCTGACTATGTTTAAAATAGTTTAATGATGAAATGTCAAGTAGTATTATGTAAATTATTATGACATTATAGAATATAATCCCGCTGCAGTGACATTAATGTTGACAGTTTTTTAGCAGTGTGTGGAGTGACGCATTTTTGTCATTGATTTCAACGATATTTAAAACAATCAATTATACAAATTTTTACGCTTTACACAATGTTGTACATTTTGAATGTACAAATTGCATATTCCTCTACCACAATTGTTTAAAGTTAGTTGAACAAGTACAAATCTAATGAAAGTCCAATGGTCATTGATTGATTTAACTATGTATCGATATAGGGATGGTTGGGGGTGGTGACGTGAAGTGCTAGATCTGCCAAACCACCTGCAAGTAGCAGTATGTAGTTTATGACTTTGCGTTTGCAGGGATGGGGTGGGTTGTCGTAGGGTGATTAAATTGCTATTCAATGATGGTACGGAATTGACGTCATATAGTATGCGCCTGACATATTCCATACCTAATTATTTAATTTTAATCCTATCCTCATACATATAAGTTTGTTACTTCCTTTTTTTTTTTTTTTTACTCAGGTATTCCATCTTAGCCAGATCCCTTAGTGACTCGAGGAGGCTAATCGCGAATTATGCCCTTATTGGCTCCCAGATTTCGGTATTGCTTTTACTCCTGACCCCAAGAGAGTTTTCATCACTGCCTTCCACAAAGTGT